GTGTACATGGTTACCGTGTATGTGCAATTCTTAAAAATGCGGCAAGCAGTTTTCGATTCTGCACTTTCTCCCAATTTCGCACCTAATCTTCGTCACGTTTAAGCACTTTTGTTCTATAAAAGTTCTAATATAAGCGTAATTTGGCTAGCAGATTGTTGGAAAAATATGTTGAGGGGGAAAATTAAAAAAAAAAAAAAATGCCTTTACTTTGTGAAAACAAAATGGCGTCCAAACAAAAACTACTAGGTTGCTGTAGCAGGGTTGGTCCCCAAATTTTCGCCAAGTTACCATAATCCAAAGAATAACCGAAAAATTTCACGAAAATGCATGAAAATTTTGTGAATCTTTAAATCCGGTAAAAAGAACATATATGAAATTAACTGATCGCGAAAAAGTATATACCATTTCCAAGAATGAACATTTCCACTTATAAAATAAATAATATATCCAAAAACTTTTACCTCTAAATTATCTATTATATTATAAACGTCACCAACGAATTTCTACCGCAAACATTAAAAATGGTTACAAATACTTAGTGTCAAATATTTAAATTATTTCCATGCACATTTACTTCAACTGAAACATATACCAAATTGCTACAAACATAAAATTCACAAAATAACTATAATTTAATTAAAATATAACTAAACCATGTACACGTCGACTTATTTTTACTTAAAAAACCATCCCAGAATTGCACAAAAATGGCATTGCGCACACTCTTCACTATATCCATGTACACTGCTTTTTTGTCATAAATTAGAAAAATTTCACGAAAATGCATGAAAATACTCAACGTATTCTATTCAAACATATTCCAAAATACTACAAACATATAACTCATAAAATCACGATCATTAAATTAAAATATAATTAAATTAAAAAACATTACTTAAAATATAAATAAGCACATACATTAAATTAATAAAAATTAGCTTACAATCCTAATTACTTTAAAACTAAATCATTGCTAATAACCAATTTTCCAATAATACCATATTAATTTATTTACTCCTTACATTTAGAAACAATGCATAAAAATAATATCCTCAAATGATTAAAAATACTAATTTACCTAATCTTCAGAATCTTCATTACGTGGCACGCACACTTCCCTACAGAAAGAGTTCTAATCGGCTGCAGTACTACTGCTAATTTCTAAATACGAAATCCAGTAGTCAACTGGCAGTCTATTCACCCAGTAATAAGAAATTAATAAAATTTCTTCCATGCTACTTTCAGCAAACCACGTACCCTTCCTTACACTCCGTTTAACAAAATGTCCATTTTTACCAGATTTCTTGCACCGCCATTCAAACTTATCTGTAATATCCTTCCTTTCACACAATCTCAACTTATTATCAGATAAACGCATTAAAAATTGGAATTCACTTTACATAGCGCCATGCAATCTGAAAATTAATCAACACTATTTCACACAACACACAATGAAGCTTAATACAAAATACTATAGTACTGGAGATATTTTTCCAAATTCCCCTCTTTTCCGATTAAAGAACTGTAATTCGTCCATTAATGTCACATGACATATCTCATGATCTCTCATTTCCCTCACACAAAATAATGTGCAATTGGAACTGAGTACTTCTCACATTATTACCAAAGTCCTAGGTAGTAACCTTTATCGCCTCCAAAATGTCGCCAAACTACCTGTTACCATCTTCCAAAGATCAGCCTAGATTCTCTTTAATTCTATAAACAGACATAATTTCTTGTTCATTTACAAAGTTCCGCTGTTCAAGTCCTATAATTGCTGTGTCGAGAATACCGAGTATTTTGTCAATCGAAATTTTTTCGTTTTCAATAACCTCTGTCGCTTTCTTCGCTATCGGAAGCGAATTATAATGACGAGGAATTTGATTTAAATCATATCAAAGACGGAGTACATCGAGATGAAATACTACATTTAGTAAGGAATTGTAAGCCAAAATAAAATAAAAACATCTGCCCTGAAGATAAGGATAGTGCTGACAGATCAACTTCCAATTCATTGCACGCCGCCGCGGTTAAGATAAACAAATGTAAAGTTTAGATAAACAAAGGATATGCCTTTATCCATTTTTTTGCAGCAATTCCACTTTTTGTTTAATGGACTCCGAAAAATACTTTGCTTTGTATATCCTTTACATATTAGTAAATATATATCGGAAATTCTATTTGACATAATCGAAAGTTCCAACTTACTTTTATTAAAATTGCTCTAATAGTCTAAAAAAAATAATAAGCCGTATCCAATTAGAAGATTAAGGAACAACACAATCTGCAACATTAACTGAAATAGATATTTTAGCTTAGCTTATTACCGTCCGTTATACATTAAACGCGCATGCGTAAACGTATTCGCACGCGCACATGCATATGCGTAACGCGACGCATGCGCAGAAAGTTTGTAGCTTTGAGGTCCGGATTATAGATCATTCCGGATTATGGGTGTCCGAATTAACAACTTTTGACTGTAATCAATTTCCAGCTAATCTTTGGAATATGGTAACAGGTAGTTTGGCGACATTTTGGTAAGGCGATAAAGGTTACTAGCTAGGACTTTAGCAGTGTACATGGATAAAGTCAAGAGTGTGCACAATGCCATTTTTGTGCAATTCTGGGATTTTTTTTTTTAAGTGAAAATAAGTCGATGTACCCATGGATACAGTGTATGTGCAATTCTTAAAAATGCGGCAAGCAGTTTGCGATTCTGCACTTTCTCCCAATTTTACACCTAATCTTCGTCATGATTAAGCACTTTTGTTCCATAAAAGTTCTAGCATAAGTGTAATTCGGCTAGCAGATTGTTGGAAAAAAATGTTGAGTAAAAAAAAAAAAAAAAAGCCTTTACTTCCTGAAAACAAAATGGCGTCCAAACAAAAACTAGCAGGTTGCTGTAGCAGGGTTGGTCGCCAAATTACCATAATCCAAGGATTAACCCAATTTTCTTTAACTTCTCCTCTGGCCTACCAGTTGCCAAGCGTTAAAGTCGCTGAACACTTGTAGTTCGGTCTGAATCCCAAGAAGAGGCCGATTGCATGGGTATCTTCATGGTTTTCCCCATGTGTAACGTCTATACGAGCCAGTTGCTCTTAGAAAGTCCTCCAATGAAGGTCCCCCTCCAGGCTTTGCCACAATCACATAAACCAAACCAATCAACTTCTCCTCTAGGTGGAATACAATAAAACCTGAAATTAGCCAAGATCCATTTTTGCATTTTAGTTCTACACTAGAGCCATTCCAAATATCAGAATTCTCTTTTACAATATGATCTTCCATAAGTTTAATTCCCCTTTAAATTCAAGAATCTTGTCACTTAAAGGTAGCATATTTTTTCCGCCGTAGAATAATTATAATAATACCTATATTTGATCCTCAAAGTTTTTAGTAAAAATCTTGTTTTGTTGAAATTGAGCATGCATTTCAGTAAACAGCGTATCGATTCATGCAGCCTATACTAGGATTGAGCCAATAATTCTTTTGCCTCAATTATATATACTAAAATATCTTCACTAAATTCGAGTCTACATATGGAAGGATTCTGAATCTATGACAATTTTCAATTTCAATACCGTTGTAATATACTTGGATAGGAAAAATTTCGCTATTAGGATTCCTTTATTCTAATAAATCATAAAAATTAATGGAAAGACATTTTCTCACAAAGTAATAAAAAAAAATCCCAATTTAAAATTAAAAACACAATTTTTTCTAAAATATTAATATAGAAATAGACTTCATACAACCGTTACTATTATGTTAAAGGCTTAAAAAATATAGCAAAGTTAATTAACTTACAAGGCGTAAGATAAGGATATAATATAATTGATCAAATCGCTAACACCAACAACTTGCCGTATAAAGCATGAAACAACATATGTAATGATGGGAGTTGAGTTATTTTCGTCCAGCAGGGTTAAGCCAATTTTTTATAATTTCTTGGGATCGGTGGCTTACTGATAGTGTGAGCAATATAGAGTAATAAAATTTAATGATAGTATAGATAATGTAGAATAATCAGGTTTTGTTGATAGCAAGGATAATAAAAGATAAGGCAAATCCCAAATACTCTTTATGAACCAAAATAAAATTTTGGTCAATTTGGTCCAAAATTTTGGTAAAAAGCACACAAGAACCTAGGATCACCAATGTCTTACTTCAATTCAGCTCAGGAATAAGTCATAGGAACAAAAAACCGTTTCGAATGATAAACAATACCACAGAATGAGAATACTCATATCGTAAATATGCGACTTCAAAGATGTTTTTAGGTAAGCGATACCACATAATTAACACTCAAAGATTTCTGGAAACATGATTTTAATATTTTCCATTGCTTAGTTCTCATCAACAAAGCATTTCAACAAATGATTTACATGACTATGAACTTGGCTTGGACCGAAATGTGTTGCAAGCAGAGTCCTTGTGCGCATTAACCATATATAAATGATAACAGATCGTTCATTGTGCAATAAATCCTGATTACTGTTAGAAAGTTGGCTGCAGCCATGAGAGTATCAAAAAAAAAGTGGCAATTATCATAACTGTTATTTTTGTATTCAGAATATTCTGAGCATCAGTGACACCTTAAATGTTTTATAAAACCAGTTCCCAAGTTGGATAGTTAAAATTACTGAGACATGAAAAAGATATTCAATATTAATTACTTCAAAAATTCTGAATAAAAATTTTTTGATTCTCCCTAACATAGGAGTCATCTTAAACCCCTATGACATTATGATTCTGCTACGCGGGACTGGACATTGAAAGGAACAATTCTCAAAACCCGCACATTTCCAGGAAACATACGTAGCTAGTTTACCATTTTCACTAACTGTTCGATTTCAAATGAGTGTAATTTTTGTTTTATACGTAATTTAATTTAATTTTATTTACTTAATGTGTTTTGGCCACTAATAATTATTGTCAGTTTAGTGTCTTGGAAGTGGCAACAATTTGTAGAATTAGAAAATATATGTTTGTGTAGTTAGTTAGGCTTATCAAAGAAGGGTGAGTTGTTATTTACATGAGTGATATTTTGTTTAAGTTCCAAACATACTGAACCGAATCGAAAAGAAGGAATCCTAAGTACGCGAACTGCCAAAGTTTGTTGTGAGTCTCTCTCTCTCTTTTTTTTTCCCTCCCCTTTTCTTTTTATTTAAGGCGGATTCCTACGTTGACGTAGTTTATCATTTTTTAAGCGTTAGGGACTTTCAAAAGATTATAAAGGGAAATGTGTTCCTTTTCTTATATATATAAAAAGAAGGAACACATTTCTTTTATTTATGTATATATAAGAAAGGGCAAATTTTTATGTTCGCATAAACTATTCCAACCGTTCGTTCTCCTAAACGGTTGGAATAGTTTAAATGACTGATTTGGGGTGGGAACTAAAACCTCGTTTACATTTTTTGTACATTTAGATTCAACTATGTGTTTTTCACAATCAAGATTTTTGTTCATTCCTCTTTGAAATTTTTCATCTGGGAAAAGGGACATTAAAAGTTAGACAGAGTATGTCTGCGTAGAAAATTTAGACATGAAATAAGTTAAAAGCGATAAAATAAATTAATAATTAATCATATAATACTGGTTATTAATAATTTTGTATGCTTGTTTAATTTTTCTATGGAAATACTCTTCATTTCCAGAACACAAAAAAGAAATATTAATACAAACACATTAATTGATTAAATTTAAATAAATAATGGAATGTAATTCAAACGACAAAAATAATTTAATGTAACACGCAAATGAATTATCAGATTTTATTTCATAAATAATTTTGATTTTTGAAACATGGCATTTGAACCTATAAACATGTGTGCACACTGAAAAAGTGATGCATATATAAGAATTTTCAGTACGTTTTCTTATTCAATAGTAAATTCTGACAGTTCTATGCTATAAGACTAGGGTCTAAGTTTGCATAAAAATTTCTGTGTTAAATAGAAAAAAATTAACTCTTTATGAATATGAATATAGCTGTTTATGATGATTGTTTATGAATAAATCCCTTATTACATTCAAAGGTAATAAATTTCTACAGTAACGTTTCACGATGTTTATGACCCTCGTGAAATTTTTCCCTTCTCGTTTGAATCAAAACAGCAAAATTTCGATTTTCATACGCTTATTTTGTCCTTTCAAATTCAAAATATATGGAAAACTTGCTTCCATACTCAAAAGGCAAGAAATTTGTTTTTGTCACAACCATCGTCCTCAAGTTATGTCAAACAAATAACAAGTAAATTTCATGAACAATAACTAAAATTAATTAACAAAGAAATTGCGGAAGATAAGCAGAAACTGTTAACAACCCTCGCTATCACTGTCGCTCCCGCTACCGTCTGTCTTACAGCAGATCGGCGTAAAATGGCTGTACCTGGGTTGATTGTGCGCATGCGCTAACGTAGGTCGTGCAATTAGCCTTAGAGGCTATTCGGTGCGATTAGCCAGTGCGGCGAAGCAGTGGGTGATTTTGCACTTTCTCAGTTTGTCGCCAAGGGTGTAAGCTCTCCTTTATCATTTTTAATAGTCTCTTACAATCCGTGATATGTTGGAAGCGTAATAATTTATTTTGACGGGTAAGCGAACATTTTATTGGTACCTTCGACGGAACACAAGAGACGTTAGTTTGGTAGAAAAGTAAAGAAAGAAGAATGAAAGGTAAAGAAGCTATTAAGTTTGAAAGGAAGATTCATAGAGCCGCTTTTGCAAAATCCTTCAACGTTTTAGCAGAAATTTTAAAGAAAAGTGAGATCTATTCTTCTAAATCACAATCGGACGTTAATGTTTTTGTTTCGAAAGCTCAAAGTTTGGAAAATACGCACGTACGTTTTCTTAGCACACTGTCCGAAAACAAAATTGAAGCAGAATTTGATGCTGTTGAAGATTATCGTGACAAGGCCGTCATAATCGAAACTAATGTGAAAGGTATTCTTCAGAATCTACAAAACGTAAGTACTTCAAGTTTAATTTTGATTGAATCTGTTAATGACAATGCATGTAAACGTACATGTAAACTTCCAAAGCTTGAATAACGAAAATTTGATGGTGAAATTAAGGATTTTTTTTCCGAGTCAGTTTGAAAAAATTGACAAAGATACCATGATTTTTGATAGTGATAAATTTCAATATTTATTACAAGCGACTGTTGAGGGTTCGCGTGCAAGGGGAGGTTATAGAAAGTTTCTTCCCTAGAGCTGCTAATTATCCCAAGGCCATAGAATGTTTGAAGGTTCGTTTTGGTCGAAATGACTTGCAAGTGGAAGTTTATGTGAGATAACTGTTAAAACTGGTCCTGGGAAATGCAAATTCTAGTAATTTCTCTAATAAATTATGTGCATTATATGATAATTTGGAACAACAAATTCGGGCTTTGCAAACCCTTGGTGTCACTACAGATAAAAGTGCTTCACTTCTTTATTCTTTAGCTGAATCTTGCTTGCCTGAGGATTTTAAGAGCCTATCAAATGCGTGCAAATGCTGATCATGGTCCAGACTCAAAATGTAGCCTGGACAGTTTATTACAATTTTTGAAATCAGAAGTAGAATCCGAAGAACGCATAAGTTTAGCTACGACTGGTTTTGGTTTGAAGAATGAACTGACCTGTGGAATTAAATCTCTTAAAACTGTTTACGAAGGACCATCAATGGCAGCAATTTTGTTGAGTGCTGATTCTCCCACTAAGAAGTGCGTGTTTTGCAGTGGAAAACATGATTCATTTAACTGTTTTAAGGCTCAAAAAATGCTATTTTCAGAAAGGCAAAAACTTTTAAAGATTTCGCTGTTTAAAGGAAAGGAGGATAAGGAATGCAGGAGTTCTATTAAATGTGCAATTTGCCATAAAAATCACAGTGTAATTATGTGTTTAGAATTGTTTAAAAATAAAGATACCTATGTTAAACAGAAACGAAAAAGAAACTAGCAAGGAAGTAAGTTCTGTAAATCTTTCTAGTGTTAGCAACACAAGTACTTTTGGAAACTCTGAAAATAAAATTAATTGGAAATAATTGTACACTATGTGTTCGACACAGATTTTTTTTTTTTTTTTTTTTTTTTTTTGTTTTTGTTTGTCGACACAGGTTTTGTGTTTATATGACACAGGATCGCAAAAATCGTATTTAAGGAAGGACTTAATTTCTACTCTAGGCATGATAGCTTCTAGACAATAAATTTTGAGCCACACCCTTTTTGAAGGAAAACGAACACCTGAAAACTTACATAATGTCTACAAAATTAAGCTAAAAACTTTAGACGATAATTTTACTTGTATTTTTGATATTTATGAGCAAGATACAATTTGTGAGGCTGTACCTTCTGCCTTAAATGGGCCATGGATTAAAGAGCATGAATATACCAATTTATGACACTGAAGATTTATCAGGGTCTATTGATCTTTTAATTGGTACAGATGTATCTGGTTGACTCTGGTTACCTGGACTAGACACTGATCGGAAAAATACCAGTGAGTGCTGAAAGGGAAGTTACGGCGATGACGATTGTAACAATGTTTGTGAAAGATACTTTTTACTCTAGACATCTTATAAATATCAGATCCAGTCGAAGTAAAATCACAAAAAGAAAAGGAATCTCTTACGAAGAAATATTTTCAAGAGATTCTAAGAATTAAGGATGATGGGCAGTACGAATTTGCCCTTACCGTGGGAAGACGATCATTTGCCTCTCCCCACCAACAAAGATGTAGCGATAAGAAGGTTTGAAGTCTCAGCAAAAAGACTGCGTTCAGAAAAATTATTTGATACCTATGATGATGCTTCTAAGCAATGGACTGAATTGGGAATAATAGATGATGTCACAGAATGGCGCATGTTTCCCACCAGCACTTTGTTCCTCACTGGCCTGTAGTCAAGGAACATGGCACTTCAAAGTACGTCCAGTGTTGGATGCGTCTGCTAGGCAAATTGGATCTCCATCTTTGAACCAGTGTCTAGAACCCGGTTCCAATTTATTACAACTCATTCCAAGTCTCCTGAGATTTAGAAAATTTAAATATGGTGTTATTGCAGATACTGAAAAGGCCTTTGTGCAAGTGAGCATTCGGCCGGAAAAACAAAACTATCTGAGATTCTTCTGGTGGAATGATAGCGACTGTAAATAAATTAAGGTAATGCAACACAACAGACTGGTTTTTGGTGTAAAGAGCAGCAATTTTCCTTTGGGAGCAGTCTTAGATTATCATTTCGGAAAATATTTGAATGATGCCAGATGTAATTTTAACGTAATCACGATTATGTTAAGATTCTTCTTTCGAGTTTCTACGTTGATAATTTAGTAACGAGTTTAAATGATACATGTTATATATTACCCTTCATTGAGACGTTTCAAACTATACTGAGTGAAGGAAAATTCAATTATAGAGGTTGGCATTTCCCCAATAATAATGGTCCCCAACCATTTACTTCTGAATTAGGACTTTTATGTGATCAAAAAAAGGATACGCTGATGATAAATCTGGACTGGTTAAATAAGCTATAAATTTGAAACTTTGTCCAAAAGGATAATTCTTTCTGTCACTCAGAAGGTATTCGATCCTGTTGGCTTATTATGTCCTATTTTGCTGATACCCAAATTGTTATTGCAAAAGATGTGGAAAGAAAACATACCTTGGAACTGTGAATTTAACGATAATGGAAAGAAGAATTCATGAGCTGGTTTTCAGAACTTTATTTACTGAAGGAAGTGACCGTGTCACGATGTTTTTTAATTGATCCAAGTAGAAAAACATTTTTCTATATATGCTTTGTGATGCTAGCTCCAGCTTTCGCAGCAGCTGTTTACATTCATGTGGAATCATCGGAAAATGTCCAAGTTCATCTCCTAGCGACCAAAGCTTCTGAAAAATCAGTGACAATTCCTCGATTGGAGCTGATGGCTGCTATGGTGGCAGCTCGTTTGTGTGCATCTGTTGTGGAAGGGAAGATGTTGAACAGCATTATTGGACTGAATTTACGGTTGTTTTAGGGTGGATTCAGCGTAAAGAATATTGGACGGTATTTGCGAAGAACGGAGTGAATTACACAAATAGTTTAACGGATCCTCTTGCATGGAAACACCTTCCTGGGTTCCAGAATCCAGCTTATTTTCTCTTCTCCAGGATGTTCTGCTGGACAACTGTTATCAAGGAAACGGTGGGAGGGACTCACTTGCTTATTAGAACCTTCCTCTAACTGGCACTTCAAAGAACAAAATTTTGATGAACATTCTACATTTAAGGAAAGAGAAAAGCAAAATCTGATGGGCATTCCTCTTGTGTTCTCTAAGTTACTCAAGTACTTGTAGCTGCAAAACTGATGAAAAGAAAAATAATGGATGCAGCCATTACGGATCAAGTTGGTACTATTATTATTTTTTATGACAAAGTGATACGGTTGATTGCTTGGATAAAAAGATTTATCTTTAATTGTCTAAATAAATTTACAGTCTTCCCGAATTATTGGCGAATTTTCTTTGGATGAACTGATAAAACATACCTTGGGTCAGTCAGGAAAAAGAAATTGGGGCCTCATCCAAATATAGTTGAAATGTATTTTGCTTTTGCTGATTAAACACCTTTGTTTCCTGGTGCCTTCACTAACTATCCACATGCACTTTCTATTCGTCTTCTGAGTGATGGATGTGGTAGAAATATGACTCTGTTTCTTGTTATGAAGAGATACGATTGCAATTTAAAAAGAATATTTGAAAAGAATGTTTTTGGTCATACAGCATTGCCACTATTTACTCAGCTTCTGGAAGCTCTAGTGTGTGCTTCAAAATGATATTACTCATCGGAATTAACAATATTTTATTAGATTTCCAGTAGGGAGCCACTTCTTCTAGACTTGTAATAACTGACTTTGGATGCTGTTTTGAAGGTCTCTGTTTGGTTTATATTTCATTTGATTCTGAGAAAGGCGTAAATATAGCATTAATGGTACCAGAAGTTGTAAATGATGAAGCAAGTCCCTTTCTCAGTGATTGATTATTTGAGATCAAATTTATGGACAGCAGGAACTTTAGCATATGAAATATACAGAGGAACCAACCTTTTATGTTCTGTAAATTCTTGTTTGAAAAATGATTCATATAATATGAAAGTGATTTACCCTCCGTCAAAAGCACCACCAGTAATGCAGAAATTGGTCAGAAGAATTCTGCTCAATTTTTTTAAGCTCCCTTAAATTTTAAAATGGATTCGTCCCGGTAGTGATTGTTTTCATCTTACTAGCAAAGACAAACCCTCGCAAGCTACCTGCGAAGGTCACACCGAACCTTTCTTTTCTAACCGTTGAAATTTATGCCATCCTAACGCAAGAATGAACCAATCACAGCGAAATAAGCTCGAACTGATATTCAGTAGATTATTTCTCTAAGTCTGAAGTACATTCACCTTCTCTGATTATTTATGGAAGATTTGAAGCTCAAGGAGTATCAGAGACAACAAACGGGCGAGAAGGGGCGAGATTCAAGTTACAGGGAAGTAGAAATGAAGATATCTTTTAAATATTTGTAATATCAATATTACTATATATTCCGAACCGAATACAGGGTTCTTTAAAAAAAAAAAAAAATGGTTAAAGGAATAATACTTGCAGTTTATCTATGACTATTTTTCATTTGTTATCGCTTTACTATAACAGTGTTCTTCGGAAATTAAATTATTCGAATAATTTTCCCTCTCGTTTTTCGGCCGAAAAATTAGTTAAAAAAAAAAACAGGAGAGGGTGAAAAATACGCGAAGAAAATCTGCTAATATGTACTCTAAGTATTATTTCATTTTCTTAATAATTAAAAGTACTTTTATAAATAAAAAGCATTTTTCTTCCTTACTAGGGATTTTCTCGGTATAAAATTTTAAGAAAATTTTGAAATAAAATTAGTCAAAGGACATAAAATTCAACATATCTAATTCATATATATTTTATACTAGAATCGTTATGAATAGTTCAGGAGCCTGAATCATTTATTATAAAGTGAATTTAAGTCAACTTGGAGTTTTTTGAAATGGCGCTGCTGCATAGCATAAAAACTTCCCGAAAAAAGTTTTGTTCTTTATTAAATTGTTATTCTTTATTTAATAAAACATTCTCAAATAATCGAATTTAATTTGTTTTTATGAAAATTGACAAGACAGTGTAAGAAAATACAGAATGATTTGTGTGTGTGTGTTTTGTGTGAATGTGTGGGACTTTGATTCTATCTCTATGTATTATTTTCTTCCTTTCTAATTTCACATAAAAAACATTCTGAAGTGCTTATGTACTGAAACCGAACCTAAATTAGCTCCATCCAAACGTTCTTGCCATTAGTTAAAGTAAGTGAAGTTTTCTTTGCGCAGCGGGAAATTAGAAACTTGGCAGCTGCAAAAGCACGCAACAATCACGTGAAATGACAGTTTTACATACGTTCAAACTTATAAAACACTTTCTTAAACTTACTGGACTATTGCCAAATGAAAAAGAACCCAATCACATGAACAGTCACATGAAACATAACCTTATGTCCTTGTTTGGATATGGGAAAGAATAATGTCTAATTCATAAAAAAAACTTACAAGGAGAACAATGAATTTCTTTTAAGACAACTTGAAATAAAAAAAGGCCACTCTAAGGAGTGGTTACTTTTCCAACCTTTGAAAAGAGAAAGAACGAATTAATTATATTCTTCCATCACCTTTCAGTTTTCTAGATATTTATATATAATAATTTTTCCTTATACTGATGATTATCTTTGCATATTTGGGTAATTGCCCTAGGAAAACACATTTGAAAACCACTGCAGTAAAAATACAGCTTTTGCAAATTTTATATTCTAGTTACCCATTTTCAAAAGCTCTATAGATAAGGACACGAATTTACAAAAATCTGGTTAACTTTAGCTGATAATTATACATTCACCATTATTTTTTCCATTAATAATGGAAAATTAACTTTCATCAAATTCAGAGTATCAGAAATCATATTTTGTAAAGGATTAGGAATTTTCGGTTAAAATTACTACTACCTGTCTACGTACATTATTCTCTCAATCATCTTTTCTCAAGATGTATTCAGTAAAATATACTGTGGTTCATATTTGCTTTCGAACACGAGTATTTTTTTAATTAATTTGTTTAAATCCTGCACTAAATATTGAACCACAGACTTCAAATTTTTTCCTAATATATTATTTTTTATTAGTTCTAAGCCTTGCTTGCTGTCAAATAAGTATAATCAAAATATTCTTTGCAACAAAATAATTTGCTGAAAAAGTGTTAATTGGTAACTCATATAATAATTCGGACACTCCAAATTTTTGTTGAGATGTTTTAGTAAACAGTGTTTTTAGTTACAATTTCTTTTTTGTTTTAAATGAAGATTCATTATCAGAATTATCGACTGCATTTGGAAATTATTGCTTGATCAGCAAACTATATTAACAGTTCCATATCTGAAGAGAACATGCCAAGACGTTAAAAATTAACGACCATTTTTTTTTCCCCAGAAATCGAATAATTCATCTTTTTAACGATGACAAAAGCATTCAAAACATCCAAAAAATACTAATTTTTTACTTTGACATTATAAATTGACAGAAATTGTGTAGAGCTGTTGAAAATATTGTGTGGAACTGTTGACTGTTGAAGTCTGGGGCACATTGTAAACTAACACCAAAGAATCGCATATTAATTCTATGAAAAATTAAACAACACTCAAAAATTAGTTTGTAAAGCGTTCAATAGGTTTGGAAGAATGGTTTGAAACAAAAATTAACCCTGAAACTGTTAGAAGAGTTATTTGGGGCTCATGGATACACTGAGTGATCAGAAAATAGGAAATTCTTCGTTAGCAGGAAAACAAGGAAAATACCTCAACAAATTTCTACTAAGTTTTTTTACTATTAGAAGAAAGCTGCATTTGCAGAAATGTCAAAATTTAATGTCTTTAGGGCCGACAGACAAATCAGCATGAGGTTAAAGCCGAATTAAGAATAGAATTCGAAAAACATATTGCCTACTGTCACGTACGGAGTACAGACATAATAATTTGGAGACGTTTCGCTGTCTTTGGAATAAGAAATTTAATATTTATCGAAAATAATATGGATTAGTATAAATACATAAATATTCTTAAGGAAAATCTGAAAACATGCACAAGAATCTTGGGATGCAAAATACATTCAAGCTGTATCAGGGTAACGATACTAAACATAACCTTAAATATTCCGTTGCGGTTAGCCTGAAGTTACCAAAATTGGTTGCGTGCACGTGCTCCATCGTAATTGGTTAACAGAGGGAAAATATTTCGAAATTTTGATTTAAAATAAATTAATTGATCTTCTTTAAAATGTTTTTAACTGTTTATTTGGCCTATGTATTTAAGTCTTAAAATGCTGTAATTTTTTTTTAGTAATCATAATATTTTTTATAAATCATCAAAAATATCCGAAACCATACGACAGGCCATGTTGTAAAAAAAGTCTCGGTATGCCACGAGATTTTCATTCATGTACCATTTAGATCTTCTTTAAATGTTAACATGCAAACTACTATTTTATATTTATTTTTCTGTTCTAAAATATAAAAATATACTTTTCATTCTTAAGTTTAAATCTCTCCCTAAGGCTTCACCTTAGAAGCAGTTTAACATAGGCCGACGCAAATTTATTAGGAAATGTGGAAAAAAAGAAGAAGAAGAAAAAAAAAAAAAAAAAAAAAAAGATGAAGGAAAGGGAGGTTAAAAGAAAAAAGAAAACGGAGCAATAAAATTGGTGAAGAAGAGGATTTTGAATTCATATACCAATTTTGAAACAGAAAAATGGGTTTTGCTTAATTCGCGAAGATGCTTACAACAACTATGATGGAAAATTAACTGTCAGTCCTTAATTTGCAAAATATGAGCACATGTTAAATGTGTGAGAGGAAACAATCTACCATTTCCTCGCTTTAATTGAAATTCTGATGTAAACTGACTTTTATGTCGATTGGTTAAATAATTTTGTCCTTGTTTTACTATAAATCACTTAATTTCATTCAGTATCACTGTATCAAGCAATAATAAATACCAAATACTTTCTAAATACTGTCATTTTTATTATTAATACTTGCCCCAGATCTGTTAAAATTTGCCGCAATTTCGGGGTAAATTGCGAGAGACTAATAGTTTTGGTAAAATATCTTTCGCGCTAAAATCAACAAAATTGCCAAATGTCTGTTTTGTGAATAAGATGAAAGAATAGTTATGTGACCAAAAAAAAGTTATACTCAAGGAATCGTAAATACATTTAAAAATGTAAACATTTTTTCAAAAATTATTACAATTAACCCCTAGCTTCTTTGAGCTCATTTTCAAAACTTTTTGTTTATTTTTTTAACCAAAAAACGTTTCGGAATAACTTTTTTCAAACAATCAGTTTTAAAATAGATGATTAATAATATATGAGAAAAGAATAAAATTATTTTACTAAAATTAGTAATTGATTATTTGCAAATAAAACTGAAAAACATAAGTTATAAGGCATTTTCCTCCTTTCTTCAAGCATGTCTTCGTGGCGTAATGGTAGCAAGCTTGGCGCATGTTGAAGAGGTTCAGATTCGAGTCTCAGCAACGGCAGGGAACATTTTTCACGTCTCCTTCTTCAAAATAACCTAATGACACTTCAATGGCGCCCGAACTAAAAGATGGTGGACAATAATTTGTCACTACCTGAATTTGGCGACTGGGTCCCTTAATCCCTAGTCGCCCTTTAAAAGGAGGAATATATCAGGTATTTTCTCCCTCCTTCCAGTATGCTTTCGCGGTGTAACAGTAGCACACTCGGTACGTATTCGAGAGGTCCAGGTTCGAGTCCCGAAGAGGACAGGACACATTTTTCATGTCTACGGCTTCAAAATAACCTAATGACGGTACAAAGTGCCTGAAAACAAATATAAGCCAGTGTAACAACAGTCACTCTAAGACGTAAAGCAAACGATTCTTACCAAGCGCACAGTTTTTGGAATTAAAGCATCTTTTATTAATTTCAAGAATGTATCTTAATCTATAAAGTAATAAGCCTTTATTATAAAACTGCTTTTTTATAAATTTCGCTTTCGAAAAATATAATTTTTCCCCTTTTTAACATAAAAGGGGCGACCATAAAGTAGACGGACAATTTGTTATAAATAAGAAGAAGACTACTTATCTTCAAATAAATTTATCTCCTTCCAAAATAACCGCTGGAGAAGTGTAAACAATTTTTCCAACGTTTCTTTAACTCATTGAAACACTGTTTAAAGGCGCTGTAACTAACCATTCGCTAAATACACTTAACATTTAATTTAATATCGAGACATTTTTCAAATCTCTGTCCATCTTAAGCTTCGGAGGAAAAAAAAAAAAAAAAAAAGTTGGCTATAAGTCGGGCGAATATGGTGGGTGATTTAAAGTTGGAACTGAATGCTTAGCGAGATATTCTTTGTACAGATAATACTGTATGGCTTCCAGCATTATCATTTAAAAGAAGCCATTGCCCAGAATAAAAATTTTCTTCCTAACTCACGTTATCCTGTTTCTTAATCGAAAAAGCCTCCTTGTGAAAATACTGATCAATTGATTGATTTTCAAGTACAAATTCACGGTGAATAATTCGAAAGAATTTTCCCCACATTTTATGTATTTTTTTAAGTTGAAGGGCGCCTTGTCTTTGATTGTGTACCATTCATAAATATGAGTTCTTGATAACGATGCATCGATCTTATACTGTTCGAATCATCTCTAACTTTTCTGTGGCAGATTTGCCTAATTCGTACAAAATTTAATTTCGTAACGTTGTTCCACCTCAATGCAATGTGTTTTTTAGTCCAAAGGGATTTGAATTAAATAATGAAAAATCTGCATAAATGTATGTATATTTCTCGCATTGTGATAAAATAACGGTAGATAGAGCCATCGACTTTTGAATGACGTAATCCTCCAACTAATATGGACATGTGGAAGACCAAATTTGAAATTTGTTTTATTATCGATTTCCTATTTTGTAAAACTTTTAACGAATTTTTGATAAAGAAACTCAAGGATTTCAAAGCGAGCAATGGCAACATTCTTATGGGGGAAAAAAAAACTTTTTATCTCCAGAATTTATTATCGGAAATTCTAAAGGTATGCTCATTTTAAAACTATTTTGCGATATTGCTGTTGAACTGGATATGATCGTTTAAGTGCGAAGAACATGATATTTAATAAAGAAAGCTAACACACAAAATGTTAAAAAACGCCCATTTGGACGCACTTTAAAATCTGAAACTTTTTTTTTTTTTTTTTTTTTTTCCACAATGTCTTTTTAATCAGTGAAAATGACTCGAGCCTTGACGATTCGGAAGTCTTCCACCCCTCTTCTACTACTAGCAACTGTTTTCGAAAGGACTTTTAACTGGCCAGTAATTTTAAGTATCGCCGCGCCACACAGACATTACACATTTATTATGAGTATCCAAGCCTTCTCCGGATTTCAGACACGGGCTCAACGGTTAAGGAAGCCGGTAGCGCTAACCAGTACCCTTATCAGAGCGGCTCTTCAGTAATAGCAACTCACCCCCACGTTCATTACTAGATATTGTTCACAATTTGCTATTCAACAAAAAATGACTTATTATTTTTACATTTAAATTTAATCTGCAATTACTTAAGAAGAGCCACCTAAAAGCAATAAACACGCTTTTTAACAATTTAAATATTAATTTTATTTTTTAATAATTTATCGGATTAACTTAATTTAAAATGCATTTAATTTATAGCATCCCTAGACGATTTTTATGAGTACCATATTTACTATCCCCCACTTTTTTTTAACGAATTTTATCATCCGAAAATCGAGAGGGGAAAATTATGCCAGTAATTTAGTTTCCGAAGAATGCGGTTACAGTAAAAAGAAGAAAGGTAGTATGAATAAACTATTAACAAATATCACAGTATTATTTCCTTAAAAGAAATTTTTATTTTAATTAGAAAAAGTAGTAATATTAACTTTACAATATTTGACTCAACAACACCTCTTATGAATGAGTATTGACCGCAGTTTCCGAGAGGGTCATTGAAAAAAGGAAGGAGAAAGAGGGAGAACAAAAGACTCGGATTTCGAAAGATAGAAAAATTATCAGCAGTAAATAAGGCTACAAGGAGCTGGAGCGTAAATAACAGAAGTAAGGTGAAATCACATGTTTAGAAAGTTTCTTGAGTGCCAGAACCACGTTTCCGGGTAACAAAAAATTTGCAGATAATACTTTTAAAGTAAGAAATACAGGGAAATATAAAATGGATGAAATGTTAATACAGAAATGTAAATGTAAATTGAATATATTGAATAAAAAGAAAAATAATCAAAATAATCATACAATTTACTAATATACTAGCTCTCAGAAGGAAAAACTATGTTACAATAGAAGAAGGGGGAAATTATGAGAATACTTTAAAAATTTTTTGGACTTAGGGCTAAATAGCTATGGGGAAAAAATGCACGAAGAAATGCAGTATCTGCAACATTTTTATAATTAATAAAGATACTTCTAATGCTTTGCATTATGTGTCTAAATACAAAATCGTTTGGTATTTTTAACCTAAATAAAAATTTTCCTTTATGTTTTCGTAATTAAAATTTCAAAATATTATTAAACTATTTGCAATATCATTTCCAGTTTCATTTTAATCTGACAGATATATTTAAAACTACCATTACTTCGGAAATAACTACTTAAACTTAATTCTTTTTGAAAATTTTAGTAAAAGAGAGTTTTCCAATTATTTTTATAGCGACGAGCCGACGAGTCAAAAGTCGATACTATAGTCAAATTTTGGCATTTAGCGAATTCATTCTTAATTTAGAACTATCTAAAACATAAGTTCTCGAGTAACAAAACTTAGACAAGAGATATTCATTCATCTCACATTTTTAAGAACAGCTATATAAATTTTTAAATATATTTTAAAAGAAAAATGACTGAATTCAGGTGTGGATTTAAGTCCATATCTGAATGTCTAATTATGTGAATGCGTTTTCATTCCATAAAAGCATTATTGGTCGTCATAGATATTGACATCATGTACCTGAAAATTCTTGATCTAAATGACTGTCTAACTTTCTGAGCCTTGAAATTTCGAAACTATTTAGAACTAATTAATTTCCAAACAACATAATTTCCTATGAAATATAAAATTCGTACAAATGTTCGAAGAATTTTACAACTGAATCATTTATTAAAAAAAAAAAAATTAAGAACTTAGCAAGCTTTGCTTAAGTGTATGAAAGGAATCCCCTCTTGTCTGTTAAATCTTTTTAAAGAGAGAACCTCTCCAGAGCGCTTTTGGTTTGTTTTAAATTTAGAACGAACGCATTTTCCGATCGCAAAATAATCGCTAACAGTTTATATTCATTTTCACTGTTAGTAATCTATGTGAAGGATTTAATGTGTTATGTAATCATTAGTGATACGTGAAGCTCTAGTCAGTGGCGTGTCGTAGTTTTGACCTAGGTGTGAAGGTAAAGTATAAGCTTCTCTAATACGACCGCGCATCGAAAACAGTGGTGATCGCCTTAGACAAGTAAAATTCAGTGCTAGTGTTTATTTATGCATACGGAAATACTTGTAACTTTCAGGAGTGGTCATCGTAAGGAAGTGGTCATCACAGCAGGGTTTATAGCAGTTTGAATACGAGCGCTGATGAGTATAATGATGGTTAAAATAC